ACTCATCAATGAAAGCCTTAATCATGCATACTACCCTTTTTGATTCAACGATAACAATTCTCGAATAACAATCAACAATTATACAGATAAATCAAACAGATCAACCACGATAACAGTTATGAATGAAATTAAAACCTAGATGCATATTCTAGTATTAGATGTCTACATACTCACCTCGATTCGTTGATTTAATTCGAAAGAATGTCATTCGGATTCTATCGTCAGGCAGATTCACCCCGCTGCCCAAACACTGCCAGGGCTGCCCCGCTCAGTGACCTTGCCCAATCACCAGAATAGCATCCCGCCAAGTACTAGGAGTGTCCGAAACCAAGACTGTTTCTGTCCGGACCAAACCCGCTGTCCGAACCCGTCGGGATTGTCAACAACGTTGTTTTGGATAGTTGGAGTTGACCTCCAATTGTCAACCCATGGTTGCCGCTAATTTCGCCAAGTGGTTTTGTCGCTGGGGTCGCCAGAAGAGATGGGAGTCGCCGTAGCTACCCACGTCACCTGAAAATTTTGCAGTCTCCGGAATAGAGATGTTCTGCCCTAGTCTGGCCGTGCCGCCCAAAGGTCGCCATGCCGGAGAGAGTGTACTGGTGCTTCTCGTCACCGATTGCAGACCCCCGCCGTCGACGTATTTGTTTTCGTCGCCAATCCCGCAACTTCAATAGTCGTGGCATAGGGGGTCGCCGAAACATATGGGGGTCGTCAACCTTGCCGCCGTCTAAACTTGTCGCCGGAAATATGCTCGCTGATCGTCGCTGCTCGTGGTCGTCCTATCGAGCACCGTCGGTGATAGAAGGAGAAGAAAGAAATTGGTGTTGCAAATGGGAGAAGAAGATACTGCGCTGAGGTGCTGGTTCAGAATTTGTTTATATGTATATATACTAGGGCCGATACTAGGGTTTTGTACTATAATTTAGAATTAGGTGTCTAAGTAAAAATAATCTTTTCGGGCTCACTTGTTTCGATTTGAGATCCGTTAGTATTGTTGGATTTGATTCATCGATCCTAATTCAATGATATAACTTTTATAATCAATCAACATACATTCATAAATTCCAACTGGTCTTTTCTAGTTCTTTCGATTAATTAGTACAGATCAGTCTTTTATCTTAAATCTTTATAAATATAATCAGATTAGTTTTGTGTTATTGAGATGATTAGAATATTTAAAATATCTTTTAATTCTTTAGAATAGATTATTGTAAATAAATACTCCGTAATTTTTATTTATCTAATTAGTGAATAAAATAAAATATTTTTGAAAGTCACATGAACTTTTGTTATTTATACATTTTCATTAATTATTTGATGAAATAAAATATTTTTGACATTTCTTAATTTCAAGAATTTTTCATTTAGTTTTTAAATATAAATTTTATTTTTTTATTTTTATACTAATATTTAAATAAAATGAATTGAAAAAACTTAATATTTTATATAATTTTTTGAAATGTGGTAATGACTAAGGAATGAAGCAAATAGGTAAAAGAGCTAAGTGACGTGATTGCGACATGACAAATAAAGTCTTTCTCCGTCTCTCAAAACTTCGAGCATGTTTGAGAATAGCGTTAGAGATTAGCTTCAGTGTTTTGGATGAATTTTTAACAGTGAATGTTAGTTTGAAAACGCTAACGTTAAACACTATTCGTAGATGGTGTTTTCAAAATGCTAACCATAATATCTAACAGTATTCTTAAAGAGGTCCTCCATCAAGACACATTATGTTAGAATCTAGAAAAATTCGTCCTTGTTGGCTTTTGAATGAGTTCTCATTTCACATCGAAATGTCTTAAATGCCCTCCAACTAACCAACATTTATTTACTCTTGTTCTTACGCTAACCCAATCCTAGAGTTGATTTCAAATTTCTTAATTTTCAAAAGTAGAATGCCATGTACCTTGATTACTTTCATAAGTGAAAATTAAATTTGTGTTATAGCTAATATAGAGTATATTTTCAAATAACAATTCACATACGGAGTACTTGACTGTTAGTTTTAACTTTAGAATTAAGCTATTTGTACACCAACA